TTAAATGGGTTTCACCATGTTGGTCAGGCTGTTCTTGAACTCCCAACCTCAGGTGATACGCCTCTTTCCTTGGCCTCCAAAGTGCTTGGATTATAGGCATGAGCCACCATAACCAACCATTGGTAAATTTTTTAATTCGAGTTAAGTGATTCTTTTTTGCTCCTGTTTAAAATTGACTTAGCATTTTTAGTTCCTTTGACATTCCATATAGTTTTTAGGATTAGTTTGTACATATTTACAAAACAATCTTGCTCAGATTTTCACAGAAATTGAATTAAATCTGTGGATTAATCTGTTAAGAATTGGTGTCTTCACTATGTTGACTCTTGTAGTTCATAAGTTCAGTAGGTCTCTTAATTTATAAGTTAAGCGTTCCTCAAAGTATTTCATTAATGGTAAAATTTTCAGCTTATAAATCACTATGCATTTTTGTTAAAATTTGCATCCTATGGTGCTTTTTTGTTTGTGTGTGTAATTTGAGTGATTGTAAATGCCATTGATGTTTGAACTTTGAATTGCACACAATTTTTGGTGGCATACACAAATATAATTTTTTGGACATTGTTTTGCTACCCTCCAAACTTGGTAAGTCCACTTATTTTTAGCAATTTCTTTTGACAGAATCCTTGGAATTTTCTATATAGAAACGTTATCTGCAAATATAGACCATTTTTTATCTTTCATCTTATCTGTATACTTCTTATTTCCTTTTTCTTGGTCTTTTTGCATTGCGCAAGCTGGGACTTTCATTATAATGTTGAATAGGAGTAATGAGAAAGGCCATCCTTACCTGGTTCCTGATATTATGGGGGAAATGTTCAGTTGTTTTGTTTGAGACAGGATCTCACTTTGTCACCCATGCTGGAGTGCAGTGGCACGATCTTGTCTCACCACAGCCCTGACTTCCCAGGCTCAAGTGATTCCCCCACCTCAGCCCCTACCAACCCCCAGTAGCTGGTACTACAGGCATGCACCATCACGCCCGGCTAATTTTTGTATTTTTTTGTAAAGACAGCGTTTCACCATGATTCCCAGGCTGATCTCAAACTCCTGGGTTCAAGCAGTCTTCTTGCCTGGGTCTCTCAAAGTGCTGGGATTACAGGCGTGAGCCACTGTGCCCAGCATGTTCAGTTTTTCATCATAAAGCATAATATAAGTCTTAATAAAGCATATGTTCTCTGTAAGTATAAAAAACTTCCTCTGCTCAGTTTTTTGAGTTTCTGTGTTGCTATGAATGAATGTTGAATTTTGTTCAATGCTTTTTCTCCACTGATTGATAGCATCATGCCATTTTCCTTCCACATCCTATTGGTAGAATGTATTGCTTTGATAGAGTGTTGAATATTGAGCTAGACTTGCATCCTTAGAATAAACCACATTTGTTTGTAAAGTATAATTGTTTTTATATATCATTTGGCATTATTCCCTTTGTTTGTATTTTATTGAGGAAATATTCCTCTAATTTATTGCCTAATAATGTGTAGTTCTTTTTCTTTTTCCTTTTGTTTCTTATGTTCCAAATGTCTTATATGTGGTTTTGATGTCTCGGTGATCATGACCTTTTAACATGAATTGGAAGGAGTTCTCTTTTAATTTTTGGGAGACTGTGTAGAATTGGTGTTATTTGTTCTTCTTGTTTGATGACCTCTAGTCAACTATTGGGCCAGAGATTTTTCTTCTGGAGGCTTTTAAATTACATATTTATTTTATCGGATAGGTAGAACTATTCAGAGTATCTATTTCTCGTGTAATAATTTTGATAGTCTATCCTTTTGAAGGAATATTTCATCCAAATTTGTAGCATTCCCTTATTGTTTTGATAGCAGGATCTGTACTTAACATCATTTTATTTTTAATATCGGAAATGTGTGTACTCTTTTTATGATTGTGAGTCTTCTTAGACATTAATCAGTTCTATTGTGCATCATGCTGAAAGATGTAATTTTTGCTTCATCTCACTTGAAAGAACTAGCACTTTATTGATTTGTCTCTTTCTGTTCTTGATTTCTTTGATTTCTGCTTTTATCTGTATTATATTCTTCCACTTGGTTTGGTTGTATTTGGCTCTTTGTAAGTTTTCAAATTGGGTTTTTAGATTATTTATTTGAGATTTTTTTGCTTTTTTAATGTAAGCACTGCATTCTATAAATTTACCTAACATCACAGTTTGATCCCACAAGTTTTAGTATGTTTTTGTTACAATTCTAATATTTGTATTTTTAAAAACATTCTCTCTAAGCCATGAATTATTTAATAGTATGTTTAATTTTCTAGTGTTCAGTGTATTTGTTACTGTTTTCTCATTTGTTCCATATTTGATCTGACCATTTAAATGTGTTAACATTTTTTATGACCCAGGATAGGGTCTATCTTGTTCATACGGCTGCTTGAAAAGAATGGGCGTTCTGCTGTTACTGGGTCAAGTTTCTATAAATGTCTGTATGATCCTGCTCATTGTTAGTCACGTCAGCTGTGTCTTTGCTGATTTTCTGTCTAACATTTCTGTCATTTCCTAAGACTGGTGTTGAAGTCCTGAACATAGGCTGGGTATGGTGGCTGACGCCTGTAATCCCAACACTTGGGGAAGCCAAAGCAGGCGGATCACCTTAGGTCAGGAGTTTGAGACCAGCCTGGCCAACATGGCGAAACCCTGTCTCTACTAAAAATACAAAACCAGGCATGGTGGCGCATGCCTGTAATCCCAGCTACTGAGGAGGGGCTGAGGCAGGAGGATCGCTTGAACCTGGGAGGCGGAGGTTG